AAAGAACTGGCAGACTTAAGGAGGGAGCTGAAAAGTTGATTGCAATGTGATCTAGCATGAAGATAACTGCCAGTCACTGGCTAGCATGGAAGTAGCCCAGAGGGGTGATCTTAACATAAAATATATTTATGCAGGATGCTTCAGAGCAGTAATATATTTGTAATGAGGAAACTATTACATCACACATCTGTTAGGTAAGTCAGATACATTGGTGAGTGCCAGCAGGGAAGGAAGGAACTAGGGATACTCAAGACCTGAGGAACTGATGATCTGCCAGAAGGGAAGAGCCTATTTATAGGAGAAGCAGTAGCACAAACTGACACCTTATAATTGATAGAAGTTTAGGATGAAATTCTTGGGTCTCGCATGCGTGCACAGGCATGCAGTGTGAGAGCAGAGAGTGCAGCAACAACAGTGCTGAATACTTGCTGAAATGGTGAAAGGACAAAGCAGAACTGCAGTCCTACAGCCTGGGAGCATGGAGCCCACCTGAGAGAGAGCGCAGGCGGGTAGCAGTTGCTTTCTTCAGTCTCATCAGAAGAGATGGATTAGGGACAGGAGAGTATCAAATATTTCTCAGCCATTTCCCTGGCAAACCAGAGAAGTTGTTTTATTTGGCTTAACTATAGAAAATCTATACCTGAGCATTAATAGATGCATTACTGTAAACATGCTTGAACTAGAATCACTGCAATACATTTTGAAAGTACAGCTTGCAGCAACTACAGATTCTGTGTGTAGATGCAGAAAAGGATACAATTCTTGAACCTGTTTTATTGCTTTCATCTTTGATGATGTGACATTAGAAAGAAATGAGATATCATTGAAATTTTTTTTTGTTATAAATGACTACATCAGAAGTATTTATAAGTTAAAGCTGAAAGATAAGTATGGACTCAGAGCAAGAAGACTCATCAGAGAAAATATGTAGCATATGTTTAGTGTATACTATGATGTGACACAGACCTTTTTCTTGTTTCCTATTTCAAAATATGTGAATAAAATAACATGCTGAATCAAGTAAGAATAAACTGCTAGTGCTATACAGCTGTCCTTGCTGAGGGATAGCGTTTTACCTCACATAATTACGTTTACAGTTGTATTACAATAGAGCTGTATACTAATGGGATGATTTGGTCATAAATCCAAAAGCCATATTGAGACTATTACAATGTTGAGAGTGTCTTGTGTAAGTCTCCCTGCTGCACTTTCTGGTCACCATCTGGAAGGAAGCCAACTAGATGCAAATCAACTTTTGTGGGAATAAGAGCCTAATCTGTGTGTCACACTCCAATGTAAAATATGTATGGATTTATCAGTGGGAGTCATTATCAACATGCCTTACTGCTTCTTTTTGCCTCATTGTATATACTAGCTCAAGTGGCAAATCAAGTGACAGATTAATGCTGTGCATTTGCAAAACCCCCTTAAGAGGAGCAGACACTGCTGCCCATAAATTTTAACCTTTGAAGAAGTTAAAATGAGTGAAGGTGAAACAAATATTATCGTGTTTATCAACATACTGCCCCACTCTACAGGGCTTGATTCTCTTCCCCTTGAAGTCAGTTGCAAGGCTTCTATTAACATAAGTGGAGCAGGCTGGACCTGTGTCTGATCTCTAGAGGGGCTACACAGAGAGCTCTTCAGTGTTTTGATTGCATACAGAAAGAGAAACTTAAAATCCCCACAAAACACCACAGACAACCTACATGTTATTTCCAAAGCACAGTGCTGAAATCTGGTTTAGAATTAAAAGGGGGCTAAGGAGAGGATTGTTGGTATTCTACTTATTCCTGCAGAATAACTCATGTAGTGGGGAGGGGGAAGTTTTGATAGCTGGCCTTGGTGCGCTGTTACCATGGTGAGTTGCAAAGGATTCCTCTCTGGATTCTGGTGGTTCTGTGCACTTGCTAAAGGTAACAATGTTACTGAGTGGATTATTTAGTTCAGATTTCCTGGTTTATAAGTGGGTGGCAACTGTTGGTTACAGAATTCTGGCACTGAAGTTGCAGTCTCTGAATAGTTGGCTCCCCATAAAGCAGTTTGAGGTGGTATCCTATCCTCAAATAAGCATCCTCTGGAAGGTGTGAAATGTACCAAATACTGGAAATGGAAGAGAGCCTCTGGCATTCCATGAGATTTTGGAGTCTTCCTGACGGTTTTCCAAGGCTCATTCAAAACATTGGATGGCTTACTTTTTAATAGTTCATGGACAGTGACCCATATAAGAAAAACTTCTTAAGCATCAGTGTTTGGTTTAAAATTTAAGTAATTCACTTGCATTACTTGCCTTAAATAATTTTTGGAAGGGGACCTGCTACAGAGAGGCTATTAAGCACATTGTAAATTTGTATTTGTTGCCTTCATGCTATCAGTTAACTGTTTCACATAGGACAGACCAACCTGGTAATTTTTGAGGTTCTGTTGTTGAAGAGAGGAACCAGGCCGTGAGCTGAAAGACATGAACCCACACAGATGCTATTAAATGTGGAAAACAGAAGCTGTCCATACAAGGACAAAAACTGTAAGAAATTAACTGTAATGTTCATCTGTTCTAGAACTGGAAGCAGGCTGACAGAACAAATATCTAATTTGGAAAATGGCTGGTCACATCTCAGATGCTGGGTTAATATACAGACCTTAATCCCTAAGAGAAATCTGGAAGTCAGCCCTGAAGCCAGCTATCCAGGCTGGCTGGATATCCAGCCTGTAAATGCAGCAGAGTTGCAAATAGTAGTGAACTTTATAGAGCTGTTTAGTTTTGTTTTACTGTTGGTGGATTTCTTACTATCCTTACAGATGAAAGAACAATAAATATGTCATCCTGTTCATTATGCAGGATGTTGTGTGTCACTTGGACTTGGAGAAGCACTGGGTTTGAGACAGATCCATGGAGGGATGTACTTTGTCTTACTGTGTCCCCTTTGGTCTCACCTGCCCCTGCAGCAGTGTGAAAAAAAAAAAAGAGTTCTGACTCCAATGTTTGTATGGCTTAGAATAGAAATGGATTAATGACAGACTGCAGTAGTTGGCTCTTGAGGACTTGAAAGTGAGAAGAAAACAAACAGCAGTTTGTCACCAAAGTTCATGGCTAGACAGGCTCTTGCTATGGTGAGGAAGGAGATACGTAAATGAAGTAATACATCCTCATTATATATAACATTGTCTGGATAGATGGCTTTTTAATTTTATGTCCTACATTACTGTAGGCAAGGAAGTCCTGAGTTCAGGTTTTCATATCTTTATGTAACATAGATACACCTATGGTGTAGGTTCTTTCTTACTGTTTTCTAGGCCAAATTGCACATGTTCTCCCAGAGTAAAATATTTAGGATATTATAAATAACTTCTCAGCAACATATAGTTGTTTGCATTAAAATAGAACTATCTGAGTAATGAATGTTGACTTAGAATTGCAGCCAGCATGGTAATGAAATAAAATCCCATTAGATACAAACAATTTGCAAATTGCAGTTGCTTTCAATTAAATAATGATCTCCCTGGTTCATCTGAGGAAAGGGGCATGTCAGTCAATCAAGCAGGTGACAGACTTTTAAACAAAAGTAAACTAACATAAGTGTAAAATTATGAATTCATTCCGTATATACGTAGCAGTAAATCCCCATTAGTAGACAGCTGTCAAGACTGCCTAGAAAACTTTGGTTATAAGGAAAGCTTTATAGGCTCAAATTCATTTTTTTGCTAAAACATTTATTTAAAATGTGGTCATTCTGCTGCTATTGTTCTACTTCTAGGAAATCTATAAGTAATTATTTTTGTGTAAATTCCACAATGCTTCTGTTAGCCAAATATACTTGTAATTTAACTACAAGTTCTTTAGATGCTAAATAGATGCATGTGTTGGGCAGCTTCTAGATGAGTTTTGACTTTCTTAACTAGAGCCTTACAAAAGAGTAGGCATAAGTCACATCTGAAAGAAGATTCATCCAGTGCATCACTGGAGTTTTAGGAAATGAGTCTTTTTACCTGAAGCAGATGTAGGAGAATCAAAATGGATCACAAACCTCTGTGAACCAAGAGGGTGTTTTGCGCCCTCCCTACAATCCTGGTTGGGTACTGCTGTTGAGTTTTAAGCCAATGTTTTGTTGCCACATGGTTTCCTCTGACAGAAGGTTTGACCAGGGATCTGTAGAACTGTAGAGCATCTGATCTGTTTCACTACCTCCCTTAATTAACATCAGATCTGTTTGTTAAAAAACATTGTGGAAGACCTAGAGGCACCAAATGGGAGCCTCCGACACAGAAACTCACTTGCAACCCTTTGGAAACTTTGAAGCTCAAAACAATGAAAATCTCTGCAGCGGTGGCAAAGCAGAGTATCAAAGAATAGCAAAGTCACCCTGAAAGGTCAGTGATTTGCAAGTAGATATAAATAGAACCTGAATTCTGTTATTGTGCCAGCTGGGTCCACTGAAGTGTTTTGTTTTCCAAATAGAAATTTATCCTGTGACGTGGTTGATCAAATATACCAGTCACATAGCTACTCAAACAAGATGTACTTAGCTATTATTTTTCTCTTTCAGTAGCTGTGACTTTTGTAACATTTCCGTTCTGTCTACATTTTACCCCAAGTATGACATCATATTAATGCTAAAATATTTGGTTGAATGAGAGCGCTACAAAACTGTCTGAGTGTATAGTATGGGTTCCATAAGCCATTAGTGAATAGAACATGAATTTGTCTTCCTGCTAAAACATACCAGTCTCTCCATAACTGTAGAAATGCCAGTACACGTTTGCTAGCCTTGACTTCTCACTGCCTCACTAAATAGTGAGGGAGTCACTTATGCCTCCAAACATAGTGTTTAAAATGCTACTAATCAGAACACCTGTTTGGCCACACTGGTGGTAGCATGGAGGCAAATAACTTGATAGGTGTGATAATGGAGCTGTAATCTTTTTTTTCAGTGAGGATGTTACATTGTAGAATTGCCTTTGAACTACTGAAAGTAGCTTAACATTATCTCTTCTTTTTACAGTGTAAAGTCAGACATCTGGCACTGGCTGGGTGTCCCCTGCAAGGCTGCTTCCTGCTCCAGTGGTTCTGTGCGACTGGCTGTAGCTGGGATGTGATTTTTTCCCAGTCACACACCTTTTCTCTTGGCACTGAACACTACAGCTCAGAAGCACAAGTGGAAGAGGAAATTCCTCAGTGCCAGAGGAGGCTCCAAAATGGAAGAAGGCAGAGGTAAGTGATTCACAGGGTTTTTTGGTTTGTTTTTGTTTTTTGTTTCTGTGTTTGTTTTGTTCTGCCATCATTATGTGAGAGTCCAGGGTTAGAGTACTGAACCACCTGCTGCTGCTGCTCAAGGTGGACCTAGCCTGGGATTACAGTGTTCTCCTTGTGGTAGTTTGAAGTTCCAGACTTATGATTTATCTCTTCCCTTTAGACTTCTGTTCTTTGAAAACTGATCATAAAGCAAGAACAATAACTCTTTAAAAATTAGTGGTTTGGGAGTATTTGCTTAAATCAGTATCTGAATGGTAAAGCTGAGGGGCTGGTATGTCATGTGTTTGATGGGTCACTTCAGTTTGAAGTGAGTATGATACCACTGAGTATAATATAAATTGAGGTTACGGCTGAACTGTGGAGAAGTAGGGAAAAATTCAATTAAACTTCAAACATTTTTTTCTCTCTGCATATGAATGTATATATTCTTTAAATAATAACTATATGTTCCATATTATAGAAGTCAAGGATGACTGTTGCTAACCATTAATCTTTTGCTTCCTTTCGTATAATATAATAAGAAATTGCTAAAATGGGATTTTAAATTATTAATCTGAGACTAGGTGTCCAAACAGTTCTTTTCCCTTCTTCATGCCTGAATGTCATACCCCAACAGAAAGAAAGGTGGCCTAGAACTGCTGTGGTGAAGGAAGCATAATCAGGGGTGAGGGGTCAGTTAGAATGAAATTAGATAGACAAATAACCATGGGTTCAAGGATATGCTTAAGTGAACAGCATAGTTTGCACTGTCTGTTGGCAATTATTTTAAGATGCATAAAACACTGAGTTCACAATGTCCTAATTTTGCAGGGATAGGTTTTACAGACCATAAATCCTATGCACACTACTGAAAAGGGTCAGAATCTAATTTACAGGTCTGATTCAGATCTTGCTGAGGTCAATCAAAATCTTTGGTTTTAGTAGGCTTTGGATCATACCTTAAAAAAAAAGGTGCTGAGAGAACGTTAAGATTAAATGAGTTGTAAATGTTTTCTCAGGATACCTCCACTTTTTATATATCTATCATTACAACAGAAAAAAACTGTTTATAAGAGTGATAGACTATCTCTTATGGTTCCATTTTAACTTTATTTCAAAATACAGTGAGCCTAATGAGTAGAGATGTGAGATTATACAATACCTGTTGTTATACAATATATGGAGGTGCATGTTTGCCCCAGGGATCTACGTGAATAGTAGATTTGGGAAGATGTCCCCTGCAAGAATGTCCTTGACAGTACAGAATGAACCAAAAGTACTGTTGGAATTATTTAGCCCATTGAATATACAATCCTGTAGCTATCCTCTGGCTAAAAACATGGGATTACATTTTCTGCTGATGAAAATGCATGCTGCTCCACTGACACTAGTGAGCCGTATCATCACATTCTGCAAAGAACTTGGTCTGGTTTTATTTGTTGCTGTTGTTTAGTTGTAAAGGTCCCACTTGGGACTTGGGCTTATTTGTCATACATGCTGAAGAAAACAAATGGTAAGATGAATGCAATGAAAGGCACTGTTCCAAACAATTATTAATGCTAGTCTGCATCAGCTTGCCTTACAAAAGAAAAATGGTCCTTAAATCAAGCACCAGAAAGAAGATCCTTTTAAAAGAAGAAAAAATAGTCAATTTTGAGTTTGCTCTTTTGCAGCAAAATAGAATTGTTAATGCTCCTATAATCTCAGGCCAACACAGACTTTGGTAAGTATAATGGGACATAAGTGCATTTAGTTCTGCTGTTAGTAAGAGTAAATTGTATAGCTGTCAAGTTGTGCCACGACTATGAAGTGCTGAGTAAAACCATTGCTAGGAGTGATGAAATCAATGTGCCAAAGGAGAGGAAAGAATGCAGATCCATCAAGTGAACCTGTTAAAATTTTGAAGCAAGTTTAAAACAGTACAGATGTCTTGACCATCTGCTGAGGAGTATGTGTGGACATAATTGCACAGAAAAACTGTCATTTCATTTTTTAAAAAAACACCTCATTTTACAGGAAGTATGCAGCCAAAGGAAGTAGCTCCTCCCTCCCTCCAAAGCCCATGTTCTTGAAATAGCCGTATGTTCTTTGTTTAACACTCAGTTCCAAATAATCTGATTTATTCAGGGCTCTTCTGTTGTGTGTAAGGATTTACATCTAGACTGTCCTTTAGAAGTTGGAGCCTCTTGCAGTTTAGCATGCCTGAACCGTACATCAGAGTTTATCACAAAAGTACCAGGGTACTCGTAACTGTAATGATGCTCCCAGGGCTTTATTCTTGTGGTTTATATTGCTAGAACCTTTGGCAGAATTATATCTTTGCATTACGTGGCTGCTTGTCCATTATTTTTATTACAGAAAAAGAGTGTGAGCTTAGATCATGGTAGTATTGCTATCCCTTTCAGTGTATGTCAGAGCTGTAGAAGCCACAGAGATGTATTTGTAAATAGATAAGATTTAATAGAACCTAATGAAGGCAGTGGGTATTTTCTTATGCTCAAGTATACCTTAGTGGACAATTCTAAGTATTTAAATTCACAAGCGGCTGCAGTAATTTTCAACCACCATTTTAAAGGAGGGATTTTTTTTCACTCTAGCTTCCTAAGCACAGACAGTTTTAGGTAGAAGCTTAGTTTTATGTGGTAGGAATAAAAAATAAATATCCCATGACTGGCTTCTGTCAAGTGATTAAATGTTCCTGAGCGTGGAGCATTTGCTGTGAATTGTTCCCCATTGCTGGGTTTGTCATAGTGACTTTGCTTATTTGTGATTTGTGTAATGAAAAAACTAGAGAGATTTAGGTAAGTAGATAAAATAGTATTGTTTGTCTCACACAGACACTTTGGTACCTACATTTTACATTTCTGTTATTTCAGTGATGACTTTTGGTCTACATATTTTTCTTTCTTTTGGAATAGAATATGTATTTGCAGAGACTGATGTTTACAAAAGCAGATCCATTGTAAGCATAGGAAATCAATTAAAAAAATATTTAGAGAAAAAAATTATACAGCTGGAGAAAAAGTCTCTGCTCACCCTGACAGAAATGTTTAGGGGTTTTTTTATTTCGCTGTCTTAACAGTTTTTCTTTACGGTTTTTCTATTTTAGCTTTAAGTCATATCATTTTATCAATTTGATTTTAGCTGTCTAAAATATAAATATATAGAGCTAGAAACATGCATTGTAAAATCATTAGTTTCTCCCAAGATTCAAAAATGACTCAAGAAGCTGATGACCTAAGGGTCCTTTTTTTCCATAGTTTTATTTTCCTTACATTATTTGTGTAGGCATTGTCTTTTTGTAGCTGGCTTCAAAAAAAAGAATTACTTTAATTCCTTCTGAAATAATGCAAACTGATTTAAATTTTTTAATGTATAATATTATTATTGATTTTTTTGATCTTATTGAATTAACATACTCTGTAATGTGTTAAAGGAAGAGAAACAGTGAATGCAGAAAAAATTAGAGTTGTTTTCCATGCAGATGTCTCATAATACCAGTGACATGGGGCCTTATAACACGAGGCTAGTTCCAATATTTGAGCTTTCTGTTCACAGAGTTTTTTAAGTGAGAGTGCTCTCTTAGGGTGAAAGGAGGAATGTTTGCTTCCTTTGCACCATATTTGTGGCTGCATTGCCACTAAAATCTAGCAGTGGGTCTTGGTGAGTTCTGCTGGTCTTTTTCCTCCAATATGTGGGATTACAACAGGTAAGATTTTAAGGTAGTAGGCAGCTTTTAAGGTAATAGATTTTTACCGTGTGAATGAAGCTTTCAGTTTCTCCAAAACCCTTCCAACCATGAAAACTTTCCACCAGGTATCTAGAAAGCCAAAGTAAGCAATTGCAATTCCTGCTGAAGTTAGTACAGAAGTGAGAAAAATACAAATGAAAAATCACTACTGGCTCCCTGGTAAAGCCAATGTACATTGATTCAGCCACTTGAATATCTGGCTGTAACTTTATGCACCTTTGTTGAACATGTGGATCTGCAGACTCCACATTGCACACTGCTTAACTGTGAGGATATGTTTTCCTTGTGACTGTTCCCAAGGCACTTCAAGTGCGTCAGAATTGTTGGCATGCTCACTCACGAGCTCTGGTCATTCCTGCTGGGGATATTTAAAAGGTTATTTTCCCCAGCTCTTTGCCAGAAGCTGCTGGGAGCCTGTGGAGCTCAGGTGGCAGAAGGGCCATGTATTGGCTTCTGGGCTGCTGCCATTCCTAGCCTGAATAATTAAGTTAGACCACCACTGATGACATTATATATTAAAATATTGGTCTGGGAGCTGCAACAGTCGAGAGATCAAATTTTCACAGTCCTTGTGAAACTGAAGTGATGCAGAGATCACCGTTCCCAATTATGTCAGCTAAAACTGAAGGACTGCAAATTGGTGCCATAATTTAAAAATGTTTCTTTTGAGCATCAGAGCATCTTTCTTCATAAAGAACTGCTCTCTTAAGGAAGCTCAATCCATGAATTCTTAAGGAGGCTGGGCTGCTGAGAGCTAGGGCTTTGCTGCTGGAGGTATTATGCTGTACAAAGAGGTGCTCTGACTGGTACAAGTTTGGACATAGCTTGTCACTGTTCCTCCTCTTGAATTTTAGTATAGCAACAGTAATCTGCCTTTGCTCCTCCTCCTTTATGAGTTAAATGTAGTGTTACTGACTGACTTGAATGTTGTGGATTTTTTGTTGTGTGAATTCTCTGAGTTCAGAGGTTGGATGCAGTGGCAGTGTTATTGCTGAAGAAATTGAGTGAAGTAGAGAATCCTTAGTGACGTGATGCACAGAGCACTGTGGAAACAAAGGGTCCCAATGGGATGACCTATGTAATGCTTCCTTGGTGAACTTTTCTGAGAAAATGAAATTAGTATGAAACCACCCTGGAAAAAAATATTTTATAAATTAATTTTAATGTGCATCATCCTTGCAAATCAATAAAACATAGAAAAACTTGCCTGTAGGGTCTGTTGCATCAT